TTTTTTTTTTTTTTTAAATTAGTTTATATTTACATAGTGCTTATACCATTAATGTGTGTTTTGGTTCACAGATGCATTCATTAGTGGGAATAATTGATTTACATGTATATTTATGAACTAGTGAGTTACTAGCCTGATCTTTAAAGGGGTGCCCATTACTTGCAACTCTCATAAACCTCGGTGTTGAGCTGTGGAAATTAAAGACCTGCAGAAGGCAGGGAGGAGTGCTTGGAGCAGTTTGTTTTGGTGTTCACATATCCATATGAACTGCAGAATGAGAATAGACAATTAAAAATTCTTAATACAGCATAGTGCCAAAACCAATGACACAGAAATATTTTTCTGGTGAGTTTACTTCGCAGTCATTTAAAAGGAACAGTAAAAAAAAGTAGAAAGAAATTAATGATTGAAGGCAAGTTATGTTGCGAATGTGCTTTTCCTTAGAAAGCTGTCATTGTATATAGAGGTGAAATAAATGCCTGCAAGTAAAGAAAATACATACCGGTATTTTAAATATTATGCTTATGTTTTATTATGTCCTATTTTTTAAATTATCTACCATAAAATTATTATTTATTCTTCTATTATGACTACCAAGCTACACTGCAACAAACAGGACTTATTGCTATACAAAGACATCTTATTTCATGTACACAGGAAGAAATATGTCTTCTCAATACTTCCTGGGGATGCAGTCCAAGTGTGTGGTCATCACGCTTTAAATCACAGGTTAACATGAGAATGTATGTAAAACATTTCATTTTCTATTATTATTTCTTAAAATATTTGTCAGTAGCATTTTTTCCTTTTTTTTTTTTCCCCCACTTTTGATTTTCTGCCACTTGTGGCAGTGCACTGCTTTGATTTCAGTTATTTTTTAAAGTAAATAAATAAGGAAATAAATAAAAGAAAACTCACCCTAGAAGCAGTGATTTTCTAGGGAGAGACAGAATATACCCAAGAGAATCAAACTGCAGAACATACGCCTTCTCCATAATGAATCTCCAGATCCTAGGCAATTGCAATTACAGTACCCTTCCACAGCAGGAACCCCTGTTGTTATTGATAACTTTTATAGTTATTGTCATGTTGAGAGGCTCCCAGAAGGTCTGATATTGTAAAACTGAGCCAGGCTGGATTGAAAATGGAAGCAAGTAAAAGCCTGATATTTCTGCCTCCTCTTAGAAACAACTTCCAACATCAAGATGTGAAGAACACCAGAAAGCAAGTTATGGCAGAGGGCTGGGTAAACTGCTAAAAAACCTCCCATCTGAAAGTACGGATTCTATTCTTGCATCTTGAACTTCAGTGAAAGGAAACATACATAAAATATTCTATTCAAAACATTCTAGGGGTACGTATAAAATAAAACTGTATTTGTGGCTTAGTACTAACCATGAAGGTTGAAGTTTTCCATGTTACGTGTCTGCCTCAGGCTATTCTCCATGGTCTGTTCTCTGTCAATCCTCCCTGTTCTCAGCAGATCAAAAATTAAAAACAACTTGTGCTAGTTCATCTAAACAATTGTGTTATTTCTCAGAACAAGGTTGATGGAGACTTTTTTTTTTAAATGTATATTTTCTTTTGTTAAAATGTTCCACTGTCTCCAGAAAGACAAGCATACTGAGCAGGATCAAGCAAGGTTGCATTTGCTAAGTTTCTGAAAATCTATTCAAATTTGTCTCCATAGAGCTGAGGTCTATGAACACAACTGTTCTTTGTGTGTCCTCAGCAGAGAATTCATACATGTGAGACTTCTGGTTACACCACATTCTTCTCCCTGATGTCTGCACCTGAGTGTGTTGCAGCCCATGAAGCTGCAGTCCTCCAACTGCATCTTCATGTACCAAATGAAACTTGCTTCTAGACCTCTCCTATTCATCATGGATTCTTCTTTGACCATGATTTTTTTTCCCTTTGTGCCAACTCTTCTCTGTATTAATGTCCAGTCAACATAGGAGAAAAGGAAACCCTAGATAGTATTCATGTGTCCTAGCTTTTGCTGCCTAAAACAGGAGACATTCAGATTTGGAATAAACCCTTTTCAGTCAACGGAGAGAAGAGGTTCTTCCTGTGGAATACCTGATCTCGGGTGATTGTCTTAGATTTATTTGATCTCAGCTGTTTATTTTAAGATGGTACGAGTTGTCCCTAAAAATGCTAAATTCTCTTCAAAGAATATAGAGGAAGCTCTGAAAGGCTAGCTCAAATATGAGTGTCAATGTTTTAGGTGACTGCAGTAGAGCAGAGTAAGCCTACATATCCTGACTGAGTGCAAAGAAATAAATAGCAGATGGAAGAGAGGCTAAGGTGAATCAAAGATGTAAGGACAGTCCAGACTCAGAAAGGAAGAAAAAGAAAAAGAAAAAGAAAAAAAAAAAAAGAGGAAATGTTGAGTGGCAGAACCAACATTTTGAAAGATATAAAAATCACCCAACTCTGTAAGTAGTAGTTATGTATCTCTCTCCAGAGCCTTGAACTGATCTTAGACAGCTTGAGTTCTCACATTCCTCTGTTTTTACAAAATACCTCTGAAACTCACAAGGAAAATGACTGTCTTAGTCTTTCTTTAACGTCTGGTGTCCATGAAGGGCAGACAGCTTATTATTACCATCAGCTTCTTGACTAACTCAAATGGAAGAGATATGAACTGTGAATCAGGACATTTCAGTCTATGGTTAGCCTGTGAGGGCAGTTTGTAAAACACCTTTTCTTAGTTTGTATGTGAAAAGAAGATACCTTTAAAGAATCTTAAGTCAAGCTCCCCCCAGGATGTAAGCCATATCCCGGTATAGGCATTTTTTCTAGATCTTCTATAATTATGATATAGATTATCCATGGGATTGTATGTTAATGTCTGCTGCATTCAGCAGTCCAATACAGGTTGCTTTTATTGACTAGGTTTACTCTGCAAAGTGAAGATGACTTATTTCCAGCAGGACCCAAAGCTACTTACTTGAAGAAGACCAAAATTATTTCAGGAATAAGGGGTTGAACCACAGCAAAAAGAATTTATATGAAGGCAGTGAGGGAGAGACATTTTTTTCTACATTTGGCAATTAGAAGTTCTCTCTTGGGTGTTGCATGAAGTCATTTTGAGTTTGGGGTGATATGGCAGGAGCATAGCTGTAGACTGAAATAATCACATATTGTGTTTTGAACATACAAAATGCTATGAGAATGTGCTGTACTCTGAAGTACCAAAAATATCTTGAAAAATCAATATCCCAGCCTGGACACCAAAAGTAGGTCAATGTATTTGGTAAAGCTCAACTGGGAGAGATGTGTGCTGGGAATTTCAGTGTTTCAGCCCTCCTGTTAACCTCAGAGGTGGTTGATTTCCAGATGACTGAAACTGGATTAACCTCTGTTAAGCAAGCTTCTATTTCCCATCTGCATAAGACAGATAAAATCTTGTCTTTGTTCCACTCTTTTTCTGCTTTGTCTGATCTGACTGATTTTATTTATTTATTTATTTATTTTTAACCAGGAACTTTGTATCTGAGCAGCACTTAACACCTCTCTTATTGCTTAATATGCTTTGCTAATCGATATCTGTAAGGCAGTATAAGTGTGGTTCATCTTGCTGAACGATGGACATTTGCAAAGCAGATATTTACATTTAAGGCACTTGTCTGAGGCTCTTTTTACAGAGACAAGAGAGAAATAAGTGGGTTTTGGCAGTCAATTCATCTGACCTATTTTAGATAGCTCTCGTGATATGAGACAAACAGCATCTGAGACGTGCCTATTTCTCTCCTCTAGCTATGCAGAGGACTTTGGGCAAGTACATCCATCACAGACATCTGCATTGGAGAGGTCCAAATGTGGGCAAAATGAAACCCATCGGTTGCTTGCCCTTATAAATAGAGAGACCAGATTCATTGCAATGAAATAGTTTTACACAGCGGTAAATTTATCTCAGGATTTTTAACATTTTCATACACCTTAAAATGTTCTACTCCTTTTCCCCTGTTGTCCTTATCTTAGACAGATTTAGGATATTGAACATGCACAGATAAGCCTCCATGACTACCTGCTTTGACAGATACATAGATAAGAATGTACTGTTAAAGAGATTTAGCAAGGTTGAGGTATTTAGGAATGGCTTTAAAGGTGCTTCAGAAGTGGTTTACTACCACAAAGGCATCATTAAAGTATTTATTATTTTTTCTACTTCTTATGAGGTAAGGGGTAAGAAGGAAGAAAGGAAGAAAGGAAGAAAGAAAGGGGATATAAATACAAAAGCTCAACATTAATTTAATGCCAAAAGTAAGAAATGAAGCATGGGAGTATGGCCACAAAATTCCCAGTGTAATTATTATTAATACACACCTATAATTTCTATAATTGTATTTTCTTTTTCTACTCTAATTTCTTTTTTCTTTTTTTTTTCTCATTTTTCTTCTTAAATGCAATCCCTTGAACTTTTCATTATTATTATTTTTTTTTTTGTATATCATGAAAAGGATTATGTAACCTAGAGAATGAAATGTTAAGAAATATTTAATTTTTTCTCTCCAGTTTTCTAATTGAGTAATTGAACTGTCACTGAAATTATTAGAATCATATAATCATAGAATCATTTACATTAGAAAAGACCTTCAAGATCTTCAAGTCCAACTTTCAACCTGACCTACTGAGTCCCATAACTAAATCGTGTCTTTCAGTGCCACAAACTGGGGACCTTTCACGTATTCAGAGAGATTATCTTGAGGAGATTTTAAGTAACATCTTTAAAGAAACAATGTATTTTCAGTACTCAGAAAAGGCAATTAAGCCCTTTTTTTTATCACTTGAGTTTTTAACAAAGAAACCAAAACAAATTCATGACTATATTTTATAAAAGCCTACTCATGAGATAGAGCTTGAAAATAAAAATATTGTTTTCCTTTAGTAAGAACCAAGAAGTTCTGATTTTGCAGTAATGCAATTTAATAAAATTTAATAAAACGTCCAAGGACACAAAAACACTCAATACTCCCAGAATTTCACTTTACCTTCTGTATGAGAAAGGTCTCTCACTTCTTTGTTCAGTCACCAGTTATCTGTTGAGAGAGCAAGCAGGTGAGCTTCTTCAGGCCAAACTTACAAAGCATTTCTTCATATACCATTTCATGCCTTTTACTTTTTACTGAGCGTTATAATTTCAAACAGAAAATACCATACAATGCAAAACAAAGAAGAGATGTTCCTTTGTTTCTGCTGAACAGCATCCTGATAGCTTCTCCATGCAGTAGAACTGCTCTAAACTTTCTGATACTGTATCTTCCATTTTAGTCCACAGCAGATCTGCTACTCAGCAGATGAAATCAGGTACTAAAGACAATTTCATGCTCATCAATCACTAGTGAATACTGAGGGTCTTAATTTTCTAAAGGAAACCCCAACAGGCTGCAGAAAACAGCTTTCTCCAGTTTGCTTTTTTTTTCTTTTTTTTTTTTAATTCTGAGAGAAGTATTTAACTTACATTCACTCTTACTTCTGTGCAAGACACGCATATTTGAAGCAGTAATTTCAAGTAACTGATATGCTATTACATGTATATAAATTGTTACAAATTTGCAGATGTTGGTTTTCTAATCTAACCACTGTCAATGTCTTAACTACAAAAGACTGAGTGAGAATCTGTAAAATATTTTGTAATGAAAGCTGAAATCCTTCAAAAATGTAAAAATGTTAGTCCCCTGGGTAAAAAAAAAATAAATCTTACTCAGTACCATAAGGCTTCATTGTGCTAATTTATGACTAGTGCAAACATGATGCACATACATAAAAGATGCTCAAAGGGAGAATCTTCTGTTATCCCTGAATGCAATTTCAGGGACAGGGAAAGGCAGCCATACGTGGGATGCAACTGTGTGGTTAAGGTTTTCATATTTTATGTGAGACTAGTCTAAACAATCACATATGATGCAAAAGTCACATTTATTTTTACAGGTTTCCAGGAGTTGTATACTGATGCACGTATAAGGGAACATGAGAGAAACACCTAGAATTAATTTCTTTCACCATGAAAGTAGGGCAAAATATTGTATGTTATTCAATAATGGAAAGAGGTTATTAATTTCTTTTCTGTAAGGTTGCAGAAAAAAAAAAAAGGTACATAGCAGACAGTACACAAAAGTTTTATGAATACTCTTATTTACACTGTGCTTAAAAAGAAACGTCTGTGGCTGTTTTATAGTTTCTTTGTTTGCAGACTAAATTTATCTGGTTTACAGGTTCTTTCTGAAAAATAGCTGAAGCATAAAACTCATCCTAGAAATTTGTTCAGTAGTTGTCCTTCTGCTAACAGATACCTGGACAAGCTACAACAATTGAAGAGGACTGCAGTTCTTCGAAAGAGCAGTGGAAAAGCTGGGAGGCAAGAATTAAAATATGAGGAAATTAATTTCCATAACACAGCTGATAGTGAAAGATAGCTATTTGTGCAGTGGCTGCAGTTTCTAAAGAACTGCTTTGTGAACTCCTGGGTTGCTGTGCTGAAGCTCTCAGTACAAAGCCTGGGATGAGCACTGACCACTGCAATGGTGTCCTTACTGCTCTCATGTTTCTAAACAGCTTGTGCTCAATGCTGGACCAACAAACCTATCTACGCAAAGTCTTAATGTCATCCAGCTCCAGTGAAGTGCAGGATTGGGCTAAGAGGCCACGGAAGCTGTATATGCCTAGAGTGGTCAAAGAACTTCATCTGCTTTGCAAACAAGCCAGTCCTCTGCATGTCTGTGTGTATATACCCACGCAGATACAGATACATGAGAGCTTCTAACTTCCCAGCAGTAAATCCTTGCTAAAAACACTCTTTAAATGGTGTGTGCACTGCAATTGTGCCCCAATTCACTTCTCTCTTTGATGCAATAACATAGTAATAGGTAAATGGAGCAAATCTACTTCAACACATTTGTTACTGAGAAGCACGTTTCTGGGAGAGGCTACTCAAGCAGCCTGGATCCTCATCAAACTTTCTTCTTGATGCTGGGATCTTACCAGCCCACTCATAGCACACTTGGAATCACTAAGAAAGCCTCCTTGTATATGTTTCCAGTTGAATATTTACCCATGTATTAATGGAGGTTTGGGACATTGCAAAACATCCAGGTGGCTGGAAAGCCTAAGAACAGAAATCAACTGCACATCATAACAGACATATTTTCATGAAAGACTTGACATAAGGAGAAAAAGAGCAATACAGGTTTGGAAAAGGATAAATATAAAATGTCATAACTCATCTTTGCATTTAGGTGAGCCATCAAATCTTATGCTCTGAAGCCATAGGGGACAGATGACAACATCAGGGTTGCTGCCTTGTAAAAATGATAGTGAAGTTTTTGCCCTTGATGAGGCTCTGGTGTATAATGTTTGTGTAAGAGAGCAGGCATATACATCCTCGTAACCATGAAAGCTGCACCAAGATATGTGAGATGCATTTCAGTAACTCTCTAGCCTACCACTGAACCACCTGGAAGGCCTAAAGTTGCCTCTTTAGGCATTTCAGAGGAGTAAAGCCAAGACAATCTGGCTAGGCCACTCTCAATCACCTTTGAAAGGTCATGGAGACGTAGAGAATAAGATGGTGATCAGGAGTAGTCAGCATGGATTCATGGAAATAAATCATGCTTAACCAATCTGATAGCCTTCTCTGATGGGATGACTGGCTGGGTGGATGAGGGAAGAGCAGTGGATGTTGTCTACCTTGATTTCAGCAAGGCTTTCAACACTGAAGCACAGCAAGTTCCAGCCAAATATGAGGAAAACCTTCCTTACTGTGAGGGTAAAAGAGCATTGGGACAGGTTACCCAGAGAGGTTTTGGAGTCTTCTTCTCTGGAAATATTCAAAACCTACCTGGATGTGATCCTTTGCAATGTGCTCTAGGTGACCTTGCTTGGCACGGGGTTTGGACTAGGTGACCTCCAGAGGTCCTTTCCAAACTCAACATTTCTGTGATCTGTTCTTTGCAATGGATGGCACTCAGGCCTGGGGGCTGTGCTGCTGCATTCCAGGATGCCCATGGGGATGTTCTTGCTACAAAGTGACCCTTGGCAACAATGGGCATGAGCTCTTCCCTCAGTCCTTTGGCAATTTTTCAGTGGGTTCTGACAGGGAGTCTCAATTAATAAAATTGTGTTTCACCAGTAAGGCTGATTAAATATCTTTATTTACAGATTCTACTGCAATTGTTTTACCCTCCTAATGGTCTCCAATTTTTGGTCTCAAGTCTTTTTACCTTTTCTATTGATCTGTTGATCTCTCTTCTTCTTGAAGAATGCCCTCATTCTCCCCCATTAATGCATTCTGGGCTTAAAAACTTCTGTGTCTCTTGTAGGGGTGGTAGCATGTACCATGCTTTTGCTAGGTCACCATCCCAGGACGATCCAAGAATTTTTATAGTTGTGTCTTGAAAAATGATTTCTCTCCTTGTCTGGTCCTAGAAAGCTTCTTCAAGTGTCTAGGATGGGTGTGATTGACTCTAGCCTTATCAGGTGAGGGAGAAGCAGCACAAATAGGTGCTGTACATTCTTTTATTTTGTTTCCTTATCTCATAGCAAGAAAACATAATTTAAACAGCGTTAATGTCATTATCTTTTGTTGGTTTCAACTGAACATTTATTCCACAACTTGGGAAATGTCAATAAGCCTTCCTTATTTTCCCATTTCTCAGGGATAGGAGGCTTCATATTCAGCACACCAAGTTCTGCATCTTCATTATTTGTCTCCCAGCTAAGTCCAAGGCAAAGGGATTAATAAAATCTCTGAATTATGCTTAATTTAGTGGATGATACCCATTAAGTTGTTCTCAGACACATTCACTGCATGACTTTATACATATACTTGACTCCAGATCCATGCATATTCAAAGTTGAGCTCAACAGCTCTGCAACAAGGTGAGGTTTGCTTGGTCCCCATGTCTCTATAATGGAGTCAGAAACCATGACATATTTCCAAATTCTTTGATTCTACACTTCTTGGCCAGTAAACCTTGAAATCCTGCAATAGCTGATGGCACCATAGCCACAAGCCACGAGAGAACTGATATTCTCAGCAGACCGAGACCCTTGTTCTTATAGCTAATCAAATCCCACACATTCCAGGTGAAATATTTCCAGTTCATCACACTGGCATTTTCCAAATTGGCTGAAAAACTTTTGCCTGTTTCTGGTATTAGATAGTAATCGTGTGATACTGATATTCCTGCTCGCGTTCTTTTCAGCTGTTACTTCAACCCGTCTTGGTTGTGCAATGGCCAATGCACTGGCATACACTGCTGAGAATGATTTTGGCTTTGTAAACAGAACATGCAGAACTACTCTATTGACAGGTGAAAAGGAATAGAGAGCTTGCATTTAGCTATGTTGACTCTGCTGTGCTAACACAAATAAAATACAAGGGGAAAAAAAAAGAAAAAAAAAAAAAAAGCTTTACTTTTATCACTAGCATTTGAAGATAGCGTACTGAATACACTCTGGGATTAGATCTCCCGAGTCAAATAGTGCTGTATTTACCAACACTTTTCAGAGAAGAATGGCATTTTAAGTGATGCTTAGCAACACGCATCCTCCATTCTATTCTGTCTATTAGTTTTAACACTTTTCATGTTTACCTTTCGTTTTGAGTGCAAAATACACGGGAGAAAAAAAAAAAAAAAAACATTCATAGTTGGAATGCCGGCATGTTCGGATGGCACTAGGCACAGAGAGCCCTTCTGTAATTCTGATGTTACATTCAAAGTCTGTCTGGATCTCCCCACAACCAACAAAAAAAAAAAAAACAAGGCTTCCCTACCCCACAGTTGTCAGCCATCTTTACATGGATGTGCATTTCAGTACAGTTAGTTTACGCTTTATTGAGAAATATATGGCTGTAGGACAGCAGGATTGGCAACCAGCTTTCAAAGACCAGGATGAGCTATATCTTATGAGATGTTCTACATCCACATATCCCACAGAAGTAGAACATTGAGCTGATCAAAACCTCTTAGGACTGAATTTGTACTCACTGGATTTCAGTAACCCAAAAAGGAATATGAGGATTAATCTTGAAAAAATA